CTGTTTAGGGTTTAGGGTCTACGGTTTAGGGTTTAGGGTTTAAGGCTTAGGGTTTTGGGGTCTGAGGCAGAAGGTCAAGGCGTTTTGGGTTTAAGGTGTTGGGTTCAGGGGTTGTGGGTTCAGGTTACTGATTATGTCCAACACGTTGCAGGCGTGTCTTTTGGACTGTTCTGGTTGGAACTACCCTACGGCTTGAGCGGCTAAGGGTTTAGGGTTGGCATCGGCTATTGAAAAAGAAGACGGCACGTATCAGGCAAGGGTGCGAAGTGCCCAGAACCCCAAACCCTAAACTCCAGAGCCTAAATCCTACACATTGCACCTAAGTCCTATAGAATTACGCCCTAAACCCTAAACCCTAAACCCTAAACCTGATACCTTAAACTCTTAACGTACGGGCTCCAGCTCGGACCCAGTCCATGTTTCACATTGAGCTATAGTCTAAACTCTTTAAAGGGGGGCTATATAAGGGATTATATAGGGGACTATTATAGGGGTTATTAAGGGGGATACTAGGAGTTTAGACTATAGCTCACATGCCAAGCATCAAGGATATTTCTACACCATGGTCCTCGATTCAGCCGCAAACTCAGCTGTGTGGGGGTATGGTTAGGGTTTGGGACTTTGATTCAGGGTTTAGGGTTTAGAGGACCCCCAGCCCCCACAAGAAGGGAACTATAGTAGTCATACTATGAAGGTCGGTCATATTGTCGTTGCTGTGCGGTAGGGGTTACTAGATGATCCGCAGTAATGGGCTTCGTACCAGATGTCCAATCCAGCCATGCGTCCACGAGCGAGTTCCCAGGAATACAGTAGGGGGAGGGGCAAAACAGACTCCGACATCCCGATATACTAACTATAACAGATTTAAGGCCTACATAGGGCTTAATTAGGGGAGTCCCAAAAACGGGCCCTTAATCTTCAGGGAAAAAAACACACCAAGTACCACTGTCAGGACACGATCTGCCCGGCGGGCAGCATGCGGCAGCTGATTGAGTGCGCGGAGCATCCTGCCAACAGGCGGCCTGGTATATGGTAATTAGTTTCGACAAAATAACTGTAGTCCCTCCTTGTACCATTATATAGCATTTTGAAACGACGAGTAGTATGCTATCCCTGTACTATTTCTGGTAGGGGCTGTATGATACTGATATTCGGGGCGCAAAAAAGGACCACGATTTGACAACCTGCCACATGCCTCGCAGATTTTGTGTTTGCTTGGTATAAATATACATATATGTATGTGTATATCTAAGATATTATATAGTAAGAATGGAAAGGGAAATGGAAACTACTATAGTATATATACGAATGATTAGTGTTTAGGGTTTAGGGTCTAGTACTTGTCTGCCTGTTCAGGGCTTTTGGCATCATCAACGCCAATCTGGCAGTGGACTATACCACTGATGATGCTGCCGTGAGCTTAATTTCAATGCCCTCCAGCCAAGGAAGGTTGTTGGTGCATGCAACAGGGCCCGAGTGTAATTCAGGTATAGGGTACCTCAAATAGACCTCAACATGATATGGGTGACTATTATCATATACCTACGAACCACGAAGTAACCCAGTTTCCATGTCATTTTCCATTGTCTTTTCCATTATCTCTAGACCCTAAACCCTAAGACATGCGCGTATCGAAGTCAGGGTCTCCATTGCACTGCCCGAAGGCTTAAAGGCTTAGATCTTAGCCTTAAACGTCGAGACCCCAAGCTCTAAACCTTAAAAGTATGAAGCCCTACACCTTAAACCTGAAACCCTAAACCCCTAAGCCCTAAACCCTCTGTGCCAGTGCTGCAAGTTCAGGACTGCACTTGGCACATGTGGCGGAATGCTCTCATGGAGGCTCACTGCCTTACTGATGTACGGGTTCGTGTTTATGCAGGGTTTTGGGTTAGGGTTTAGTATGTGATGTAGGCGTGATACAGGGGTTGTTTTCGGGACACATAGGGGTTGCTTAGAGGTTGCACCGGCAAAGAATTAAGCATCAAATGGAAAAGCAAATGGACAATGACATGGACAGTGGGGGCTTGCACTGATAGATAGGGTTTTGGGCCGTGTGTCAACAACTGCTAGTTAGTAGAAACTGAGGCAATGGATGCCTACCTAGGTGCATTATATGGATGATGTTTGGGTTATATAGGGGCCATGTAGGGACAATGGACAAGAAAGTGGAAACTACTATAGTATATTAGGGTTATATAGGGGTTACATATGAGTATAGGGACAATCACAAGGACTTGTACAGGGACAGCTATACTTACGGGTGGTTAGGGAAGAAGGGAAAAGACGACGAACACTGAACCCCAATCTTCCGTTTGCAGTTTAGGATTTGAGGCTCAAGGCCTAGGGTCGGGAAAGAGGGAGCGTACCCACAGGAATCCATTTTCCTTCTGACCACAGTTCAGCATTCCTCTTTGCGCATATTCAGACGCGGTTCAGTCATGGTCCACGTATTTACAGGACCCACTCCGGTAGTCCGAGCTAAAAAATAGGGCTACCCCCTGCTAGGGGGGTTTCCACAAATTGGGGGCACTTTTGCAAAGTCCTCATTAGGATTATAAAATAAGATATTGTGGATTTTACTGGGGCACATCTCTGGAAATTTCCATGCACCTCGTATACTGCTTATAACTACTGCTGCGGACAAACAGCTAGTGTTTTGTAGTATACCTACATACCAGGACTCCAAATCAGGGCAACCCCCCGAAACTTACTGGTTCTTCGCAAGGAGTAAGGGAATATGTATATATATATATAATGCAGGAGTAGATTCCCTTATTCCCTACTATCCTTATATAATCCCTATATAAATGATATACCCTAAACCCTAAACCCCCAAAACCCAAAACCCCCTAAACCCTAAACCCTTATTCCCTACGAAGAACTAGGAAGCAAAGCCGGGGACCAGCTCCTGAGTGGGCCAGGTGTCCACGGTCAACCTTGTCAGAGGGCAGCCGCAGCCTCAGCTACTTCCAAATTCTGGGTTGCTGTTAAGGAACCTAGATTAAGTTACCATCATGAGTGTTTATATGTATATACAGGGTAAGTAATAGGGATTCCCCAATATAGTAAATTTTTATTAAGCTCCTGGACAGCGACCTAGAATATTAATACTGATTGTTTTCTGCGTTTTTTTTTTTGGGGGGGGTGGGGTGGGGTCCTAAGGATGAATCTCCTTGCCCTAGACCCTAAACCCTAAACCAACAGTGTAGCAAGTGGTTGCCCTTCGAGTTGCTGCCCTGGAAGGTGCCATAGGCGTCGCCAAATTTCGTTGATAGCATGTACCTGTGAGAAGTATGTGTACCGGTGATACTGTAGCTCCAACATAGAACAAGATTGTATCATCCTTTCAGGTATAGTATTTTACAAGAAGAATATAACCCTGCTTGGCTCAATCAACCACCAACAAACGCTCCTCATTTGGTAGTCTTAAAAGTGCGGTGCCTCCCTTGCCACTGCAGAATTCCTTGTTATCATAATCTCCCCGAAGGGAACTCTGATTTCGAGAGATGACACCCTAACCCCTAAATCCTAAACCCTAAACCATCTATCACGTGTTTCCGCTCTTCGGCTACAAGTCCCGCTAGGGAAAAAGCTCTTGGTCTGGAACTGCAGAGACTGGGTTTAGGGTCTAGGGCCTGGGGTTTAGGGATTAGGGTGTAGGGTTCAAACAGAAAATTGAAAATGAAATGGCAATTGGGGTTATATACGGTGGGTTGTGGGATGTAAGGCTGAGTTGGTGCGGGGCAACCCAAGCAGGTAATATCTCTACATCTGCCAATTTGTGCTGGTGTCAGACTTAGGTGGACCAATGCACGCGCATTCATGGTGACCACAACGCATCCTGGTACTTTTACCATGGCCCCTCCACACTCCTACCATGCTACATTCGTGGGTGTATGGGAGCCTGAATACCTAACCCCAAGTCCTGAATCCTAAGCCCTACCTAGAGCCTCCAATGTAGTTCCTTCCGTTTTGGGTTTGGTATGGTTTTTTGGTTAGGATGCTTATTAGGACTACCAAAAAGGTGCTACATTGGAGGGTCTAAGTCCTACATCCTGAACCATCCTGAACCCTAAATCTAGAGTGCTGAATCCTAAGACCTAAGCCCTGAAGCCCGAATCCCGTAAACCCCTAAACCGCCTCAGTTGCCCTACCTAGGTGGGAAACAGGCCCAAGCAACAACCAAAATCAATTGGGCACATTTTAGGGGTCAGGGCTTGTAGGGAAATGGAAAAGGAAATGGAAGTTCGG